TGAACCCAAATGCAGACAACTACACCGAGCCAGAGAAGGTTTAACAGGTTTATTTACAAAGTTCAATTGTCCAGGTTTCCAAAAATAGGGGAAGAGCAAGTCCAGGTCTACAGGGAGGGTAACAGATCCAGGTTCTGAGCAGGAGTGGTACCGTAACGTCCTAGTGTCCGTGGTGAGTCCAAAAGGGAGGTCCAGTAGTGGAAAGCAGGATGGTGGTGGCAGGAGTGAAGCGGAGGCAGGAGTCAGGTTCCAATAATCTGTGGCACAGGAGAAAAGTAAATAGAACAGGCCAAAAACACAAAGAGCGAAAACAAGCAGGTTGAGTCAGCAGCGAGACTAACATGGTCGTCTTGACTATGATCTGACGATGAGTGGCAAGTTTGACCGGGTCTTTAAGGCTGAGGTGATTATGGTGAATGAGCTGCAGCTGGAACCCTGACTCCCGCACACCAGACTTCACTCCTGCAATCAAGAACAGACAGAGGGGAGGGGGGGAGCAGAGAGAGAGCTACCTAGCAGCAGTAGGCCTAACAGTACCCTCCCCCTCTACGGACGCCACCCGGCGGCCGACAGGGTTTATCAGGATGTAACCTATGAAAATCACGGACCAGAGCAGGATCCACAATGAAGCTCCTGGGAACCCAGGAACGTTCCTCAGGACCATAACCCTCCCAATCCACCAGGTACTGGAAACCACGACCCCGGCGGTGAACATCCAGAAGTCGCCGGACAGTGTAGACAGGACCCCCACCCACGATCCTGGGCGGAGGAGGGGGACGAGAGGGCGGGCACAGAGGGCTAACCGACACAGGCTTAATCTGGGACACATGAAAAGTGGAATGAACCCGTAGGGAGGCAGGAAGCTGTAGTTTAACCGCGCAGGGGTTAACAATAGACAGTATTTTGAACGGTCCTATAAAACGTGGCGCCATCTTCTTCGATTCCACTTTCAATGGAAGATCACGTGACTTAAGCCATACCTCTTGACCAGGAGAGTAACCGGGAGCCTGGGACCGGTGACGGTTGGCTTGCCTCTGCATGTACGACAAAGCTCGGGACAGAGCAACCCTGGCCTTCCTCCAGATCTTGAAGCAGCGGCGCATGTGGGACTGCACCGAGGGTACCGCCAGTTCCCTCTCTTGAGAAGGGAACAGGGGAGGTTGATAACCCAGAGCACACAGAAAGGGAGACAAACCAGAGGAAGCGTTAGTCAAGGTGTTATGAGCATATTCCACCCAGGGGAGCATGGAGCTCCATGACCCAGGGTTAGACCCTGTGACACAGCGGAGAGCGGTCTCCATCTCCTGGTTCGCTCTCTCGGCTTGCCCGTTGGTCTGGGGGTGATATCCAGAGGACAGGCTGGATGTGATGCCCAAAGCTTTACAGAAAGCTTTCCATACGTGAAAGACAAGCACAGGGATGCAGTTTGTTATCTTCAGGTGAACGTTGTGACAACACCGCACCTACCCCAGTGTCGGATGCATCCACCTCCACGACAAACTGGCGGTCGGGGTCAGGCTGCATCAGAATGGGAGCCGAGGCGAAGCGATGTTTCAGCTCTTCGAACGCTGATTCGGCCCCTTCATTCCAAGCAAACGGTAGTGAGATGGAGGTGAGAGCGGTGAGTGGCGCAGCAATGCGGCTGTAGTCCTTGATGAACCTCCTGTAGAAGTTCGCAAACCCCAGGAATCGTTGAAGTTGTTTGCGGGTGGAGGGGGCTGGCCAGTCCGTGACAGCAGAGATCTTAGCTGGGTCCATCCGCAACTCCCCCTGAGCTATTATGTAACCCAAAAAATAGGTTTCAGACACATGAAATTCACATTTCTCCATCTTCACAAATAGTTTGTTCTCCAACAACCTTTGCAACACCTGGCGCACATGCAGTTCATGTTCCTGGGAGGACTCTGAGAAAAATCAGGATATCATCCAGATAGACAAAAACAAAACGATTCAACATGTCCCGAAGGACATCATTCACTAGTGCCTGAAAAACAGCAGGGGCATTAGACAAACCAAAAGGCATAACCAGATACTCAAAATGTCCCAAGGGTGGGGTTGAAGGCAGTCTTCCATTCATCACCTTTACGAATGCGCACCAGGTGATACGCATTTCGTAGATCCAGTTTCGTAAAGATAGTTGCACCATGAAGGAGGGGAAAAGCAGAATTAATTAAAGGCAGAGAATATTTGTTCTTAATGGTGATGTTGTTAAGTCCACGGAAATCAATACAGGGTCTGAGGGTCTTATCCTTCTTTCCAACAAAAAAGAATCCCGCTCCTACAGGTGACGAGGAAGGACGAATAATACCTGCCGCCAAGGAGTCCCGAATGTAGTTCTCCATAGCCTCTGTCTCCGGGCGGGAGAGATTGTACAGGCGACTGTTAGGGAGAGGGGCTCCTGGCTGGAGGTCAATGGCGCAGTCGTATGGCCGGTGAGGAGGAAGAGAAGTAGCTCTGTGTTTGCAGAAAATGGATGCCAGGTCATGATACACGTCAGGGACAGCAGAGAGATCCATGGACTCCAGTGGAGGTTGAGGCACAGTGCTGGCAGGGGTCTGAGCAGAACACAAACAGTTCACATGACAAAATGTGCTCCATGAAACAATTCTACCTGCCACCCAATCAATGTGTGGATTGTGTCTTATGAGCCAGGGGATACCAAGGACCAGGGGGGTCTGTGGGCAGTCAATTATGTGAAATTGAATGTTCTCCTGATGATTACCCGACACCCTGAGACAAACAGGCACAGTCTGATGAGTAATACGGGTCAACAATTGTCCATTTAGACTCTTAGCCTGCAGCGGACGGTCCATAGGTACAGTCTCTAAATCCATTTGTTGAGCCAACTCTCGATCCAAAAAGCTTTCATCGGCACCAGAGTCAACCAGCGCACTAACCGGGAAATTCTGGGACTGCCACTGGAGGGATGCCTGGAGCAGAATGCGGGGAGAAGAGGAAGAATCCGCTGCTCGGCTCACCAAAACTTCTCCCATTAATGATGAGCCGGCCCTTTTCCCGGACGAACTGGGCAGGAAGGAACGAAATGACCAGCCTCTCCACAATACAGGCAGACCCGAGCCTGAATACGACGTGCACGCTCCTCTGAGGACAACCGTGCACGACCCACCTCCATGGCTTCGGGTTCAGTGCTCCTAGTATCGACTCGGGAAGACTCGGCCTTCTCCGTAGGGAAGAGGCGGGGAGGAGTTGGTTGACGACAGACAGGTTGCTTGGAACTAACACTCCTCTCCCGGCGGCGCTCCCGAATCCGATTATCCAACCTGATGGTGAGTGAAATAAGATTATCCAGAGTAGGCGATTCATCATATGACACCAATTCATCTCAGACAACGCATTAATGAACACTCCTTGTAATGCCTCGTCATTCCACCCACTCACTGCCGCTAAAGTCCGAAACTCCACTGCCATCTCTGCCACACTGCGAGCCCCCTGCCGAAGAGAAAACAACCGTTTCGCAGCCTCCTTGCCACGTACGGGGTGGTCAAAAACCTTCCTCATCTCAGTGGTGAAGGTAACGTAAGCGTTGCAAATGTCCGACTGACTCTCCCAAACCGCGGATCCCCAGGAACGAGCGGAACCGCTAGTAGAGTTGATAAGGTAGGCAATACGGGCTCTTTCTGAGGCGTAGGTGAGGGCCTGTTGTTCAAACACTAACGAGCATTGAGTCAAAAAATCACCACAGGTTCCCATGTTCCCGTCATAGCGCTCTGGAGCAGGAACAAAAGGCTCTCTGATCTGGGCTGGAGGAGCAGGAAAAACAGGCGGAGCAGGAGAAGGAGCAGTTTGTATGCCATGAACGAGGGGTGCATTATTAACTTGGGTAGTAAGGGCAGACACTTGATTGGTGAGTAATTGAACCTGATTAAGCAGCATCTGACTGTTCTCAGAAATAGCCTTAAACAAAGTATCATGTTGGCCAAGTAAAATGCCCTGATTGGCTATGGCAGTCCGAATTTGAGTGCACTCTGGGGTGGTATCCGAGCTACTGTCTGCTGGGTTCATGTTGGTCAGATCATACTGTCACGATTTAACTGGATATGAACCCAAATGCAGACAACTACACCGAGCCAGAGAAGGTTTAACAGGTTTATTTACAAAGTTCAATTGTCCAGGTTTCCAAAAATAGGGGAAGAGCAAGTCCAGGTCTACAGGGAGGGTAACAGATCCAGGTTCTGAGCAGGAGTGGTACCGTAACGTCCTAGTGTCCGTGGTGAGTCCAAAAGGGAGGTCCAGTAGTGGAAAGCAGGATGGTGGTGGCAGGAGTGAAGCGGAGGCAGGAGTCAGGTTCCAATAATTTGTGGCACAGGAGAAAAGTAAATAGAACAGGCCAAAAACAGAAAGAGCGAAAACAAGCAGGTTGAGTCAGCAGCGAGACTAACATGGTCGTCTTGACTATGATCTGACGATGAGTGGCAAGTTTGACCGGGTCTTTAAGGCTGAGGTGATTATGGTGAATGAGCTGCAGCTGGAACCCTGACTCCCGCACACCAGACTTCACTCCTGCAATCAAGAACAGACAGAGGGGAGGAGGAGAGCAGAGAGAGAGCTACCTAGCAGCAGTAGGCCTAACAGTTATCAGGTCTACCAATTACAGTAGAGCTGCACTAAACCCCCAGTGTTGAAATAATATAACAAGTAGAGCTGCACTAAACCCCCAGTGTTGATATAATATAACAAGTACAGCTGCACTAAACCCCCAGTGTTGATATGATATAACAAGTAGAGCTGCACTAAACCCCCAGTGTTGATATAATATAACAAGTAGAGCTGCACTAAACCCCCAGTGTTGATATCGGATAGCAGATAATATCTGAAGAGATGGTCTCATCATGTCCTGTAGGGGGACCTCTTGCTCTACTACTAATAATTTCTGTCTCATTTCATTGTCATGATCTGAAAGGTTCCCTGTGAGGTCCTATGAGCAAGCTTTACGGTACAGACTTTCTGACACTCCCACTAACCACCACCCTAAATAAAATATGCTGCTACATCAGCCCCTCTCCTTTCACCTCAGAGCTTCATCCAGGAGACGCTCATATCTCTCCTCCAGCATTGAGACATCATCATGTCAGTTTTTCATATTTTTGAGTCAGTCATCATGATCAGAGTTTTCATCACGTTCACACTCTCATTGTTCTGGCTCACGGGTAAAAAATAACATGCCTGTAGAATGTCTGTTAATACCGAAAACACTCTCTGCTAATAGTCTTGTGTCTGATGAATCAGTCTGTTTAAATATTCATCTCTTGTTTTCTTCACAGGACGTTCTCTCGGCAGTAAAGTCATCCAGGTTCCCTCAGCACTATTGGGAAGTCCCAACATTACAGAGATACTCAAATGCAACCATAGTATTAGTGCATACAATACTATATTGTGGTACCAGCAATCAATAGCTGATACTAATCTGAAACTGATTGGATATGTGTTTTATAAGAACCCAACAGTTGAAGATCAATTTAAAGAGCACGTTGAAATCCGTGGAGATGGAGAGAAAGAGGCTTCCCTTCATCTACTGAGTCTGAGAGCACCTGAAGACAGTGCAGTTTATTACTGTGCTGCCAGCAAAACACAGTGATGTAGAGCACCTCCTCTCCTCTACAAAAACCCTCTGATCCTTTACTCCATAACTGTAGTGTACATCAACACCTGCTGTAAACCGCTATAGATATCCTGGGCACATGGAGGAAGTTGATATTAAAACCTTTGATCGTACCCAATAATGTGGTTGAAGTTGTTGCATTAAAGAAGCGGTTCGGGTATTTCCTTCAAATTACAGCTTATTTCTAGTCTGATTAGTGTAGAATAGAAAATAGAAAATCTTAAGACTAAAGCTTACAGTGACGTCGTTACCGGTATGTTCCACAATACACCTTTAAGTTGAACAGGAGAACAATGCATCTGTTTGAATATCAATGTACATTTTTTTTACATTTTAGTCATTTAGCAGACGCTCTTATCCAGAGCGACTTACAGTTAGTTAGTGAGTGCATACATTATTTTTTTCCATACTGGCCCCCCGTGGGAATCGAACCTACAACCCTGGCGTTGCAAACGCTATGCTCTACCAACTGAGCTACATCCCTGCCGGCCATACCCTCCCCTACCCTGGGCCAATTGTGCGCCGCCCCATGGGTCTCCCGGTCATGGCCAGCTACGACAGAGCCTGGATTCAAACCAGGATCTCTAGTGGCACAGCTAGCACTGCGATGCAGTGTCTTAGACCGCTGCGCCAATCGGGAGAATGTACATCATGATGTCATTTCCTTTCCCTCTGGCAGCTCAGTTCTGCTCATCTCTATTGAATGATTCTCTTTTCACCCCTCTGGGCCCTGGTCAAAAGTAGTGCACTATATAGGGAATAGGGTGCCATTCTCTGGTCTAAAGTAGTGCACTATATAGGGAATAGGGTGCCATTCTCTGGTCTAAAGTAGTGCACTATATAGGGAATAGGGTGCCATTCTCTGGTCTAAAGTAGTGCACTATATAGGGAATAGGGTGCCATTCTCTGGTCTAAAGTAGTGCACTATATAGGGAATAGGGTGCCATTCTCTGGTCTAAAGTAGTGCACTATATAGGGAATAGGGTGCCATTCTCTGGTCTAAAGTAGTGCACTATATAGGGAATAGGGTGCCATTCTCTGGTCTAAAGTAGTGCACTATATAGGGAATAGGGTGCCATTCTCTGGTCTAAAGTAGTGCACTATATAGGGAATAGGGTGCCATTTGGGATGCAACCAATACATTTGACACTCCCACTAGCTGACAACACATCTCTGAAAACCTTTTCTCCTTGTCCATGTGACACTCATCTCTCCAGAACCATCAACATGATCAAGCTTCTCATACATGTCGCAATTCTACTGTGGGTGACAGGTACTAAATCACTGTTATGCATGAAAGATATTTACAACCGAAATGTATTGCTGTCAATATGTTGAGTAATACTGTCGATTTTAGTTGTTCCGTTTTTTCATCCACAGGGATGTCACAAACAGACGAAGTCCAGCAGACTCCTACAGCAATAATAAAACGACCTGAAGAAAACGTTCAACTGAACTGCAGCCATACTATTCAAAACTACAACACTATACTGTGGTACCAGCAGTCAGCACAAAACACTGCTCTGAAACTCATTGGGTATGTGCTACTCACCAATCCAACCGTGGAAGATTCCTTTAAAGAGCGTTTTACTGTGAGTGGAGATGGTGCAATTCGGAAAATGGCGCATCTACATATTCCCAAACTGAGAGGAACTGAAGACAGTGCAGTGTATTTCTGTGCTGCTAGTTATGCACAGTGTTTCACTATACCCTCTCTCCTCTACAAAAACCCTTCTCTGATCCTCTCATATAATACTGACTACAGCTCTGTACACCTGCACCTGTCTTCAACAACACTTTGCTATGAACCATTGGACATCAAACAGACGGTAATGATACTGTTATAAGTGGCTGGTTCAGATGGTTTAGCTGCAGTACTTCCTCACTTCTCCACCAGGGGGCAGTGTTTCTCCATAATGACATTTAAAAAGGGACTGCACAGGGCCCTGGTCAAAAGCAGTGCACCATATAGGAAATAGGGTGCCACTTGGGATGCAAGCAGAGAATCAAAAGCGACTATAGCATAAAAAGCATTTGTTTGAATGGTTTTAATATTACTAATTGCCCAGTTAGAATGTATAGGCAGGCTAAGAGTTAGGATTAGCAGTAAACACTAAGAGCCTAGTTAGAATGTATAGGCAGGCTAAGAGTTAGGATTAGCAGTAACACTAATTGCCCAGTTAGAATGTATAGGCAGGCTAAGAGTTAGGATTAGCAGTAACACTAATTGCCCAGTTAGAATGTATAGGCAGGCTAAGAGTTAGGATTAGCAGTAAAACTAGCACAGCAGTTGCTTCACTCACAGAGCATTGTTTTGACATTCGGTGGTTTCGTTCGGCTCTACCTTTGCAGGGTTCGTTAGTCACTGACTGGTCCAGTAGTCGATCGTCGATGGCCGGTACGGTAGTCGATGGCTGGCTGCTGGGCTCTCCTCTCCTCCACTCCAAGCCGGCTCCAGCTGTGTTGTAGCACTGATAGCCTCTCGGAGCTGGGTCGGGTGTGTCCCCCCGTGTCTGCAGTCGAGGGGAACAACGAACATAGAATTAGAGTATGTACTGATCTACAATGGGAGTCACACTCACATGTTAGAAATAAGCACTTTCCTTATCAGTGGAGGGGGGACAGTGGCTGAGGAGTCAGACTTCTGTCAGTGGAGAGGTTCCCGGTCGAACGGTGCGTTGAAGGTAAGTGTCCATTTCATTTTGTGTCTAGTTCAGGGGGCGTGGCTGGCAATTCGTTTAGGGAGGGAGGAGGTGATAGGGAATTGGCAACAGCTGTCTCAATGTCACTTTATTTTACAGTGAACAAATTGACAACAGACTTTCAGCACGCTTATAGAGAAGGACATTCAACAAGCACAGCACTTACACAAATGACTGATGATTGGCTGAGAGAAATTGATTATAAAAAGATTGTGGGGGCTGTTTTGTTAGACTTCAGTGCGGCTTTTGACATTATTGATCATAGTCTGCTGCTGGAAAAACGTATGTGTTATGGCTTTACACCCCCTGCTATATTTTGGACAAAGAGTTACCTATCTAACAGAACACAGAGGGTGTTCTTTACTGGAAGCCTCTCCAAAATAATCCAGGTAGAATCAGGAATTCCCCAGGGCAGCTGCCTAGGCCCATTACTTTTTTCAATCTTTACTAACGACATACCACTGGCTTTGAGTAAAGCCAGTGTGTCTATGTATTTCTTTACAACTGGAGTAGCCTACCTGGACAATAGTGTGTGATTGTGCCCGGAATTCGGGGCGTTCCTATGTCCCCCCCCCACTCGAGCATCCCATTGGTTCCTAGTTAGCTAGCAGTGTCCTTTGCTGACGCCTGCCGAACACCTGCCCTCACCGTCGTTAACAGAACTGCAGGAAAACGCTGTCTACCGTTGTCCTAGCTAGCTAGCTACCGGCGTTGTCGTTGGCATCCAACGTTATGGTGCATTTCCGGCACCTACTGTACTGGAGCCCCCCCGCCTCTCGTTTGTGTAAAAAATTAATTGACCAATAGAAGTCTAAAGAAGGGTTCCTACAGATGCAGGAATGCTCACATAAACGCCCCTAATTGCAGGCCGCAATTGCAACCTTTTCCCTGCCCCCCTGTTCCTACATGATAATGGCCCATTCTAAATCAAAACTAATTTCACACATATATTATACAGTACATTTGAAGACCAGATTACATAGAGAATAGTCTGATGGGTGACAACGTTATCGCTTGTGAACGACTCCCAGTTTGTGCGTTCTAAGGCAAGAAACAGTGCATGCAATTTTTTTGCGACTTTTTCAAATCATAGTCCCATCATGTAGCTTTTAGCCCCCGGGGTGTAGGCACGGGTGGGCCTGGGTCGGCGCAGGCCCACCCACTGGGGAGCAAATCACCTTGCATCATCAATGTACTCCTGAGTGGCGCAGTGGTCTAAGGCACTGCATCGCAGTGCTAACTGTGCCACTAGAGATCCTGGTTCGAATCCAGGCTCTGTCACAGCCGGCCGCGACCGGGAGACTCATGGGCGGCGCACAATTGGCCCAGCGACTTCCAGGGTAGGGGAGGGAATGGCCGGCAGGGATGTAGCTCAGTTGATAGAGCATGGCGTTTGCAACGCCAGGGTTGTGGGTTCGATTCCCACGGGGGGCCAGTATATAAAAAAATAATAATGTATTCACTAACTGTAAGTTGCTCTGGATAAGAGCGTCTGCTAAATGACTAAAATGCTACTCTGAAAATGCAGCTAGCGATGACTCAGCTCAGCCGCAATCTATTTAACCTCATTATAATATGATACAGAAGTAGCAAGCGTGGAACCCCGTATTATCGGCATATTCAACAGTGGTCCTCTGTAGCTCAGCTGGTAGAGCACGGCGTTTGTAACGCCAAGGTAGTGGGTTCGATCCCCGGGACCACCCATACACAATAATTTATGCACGCATGACTGTAAGTCGCTTTGGATAAAAGCGTCTGCTAAATGGCTTATTATTATTATTATTATTTAAGAAATATATTACCTTCAACAGTGTTATCTTGTGACAACCACGGGTCACCCGGCCGCTCAGCCTTTCCGCCAGGGTCTGCCGAGGTACACCATGCACCTTGGTAGATAAGAAAATAAAACTGTTACTAGAAGATAAAATTCACATACACATGGTAATCTCCTAAAAACAAAAGATGCCTGGCGGATAGCCATCCCTGCCCCGCAGCCCACCATGCTGTGGTGTTAATACATGTAGCTAAATACCTTTGCATACTAGACACATTTTAGAAAGATAACTCAATCTGAATATGTATAAACATTTCCATTTCAGAGCTAAGGCATTGAAAGGTGATGATTAAAGTTTTCACAATAACTGAAAGTGTACCCACGTTTTTTGTTTGATGTTATCTGTAATGAAAATTACTGTCCCAATTAGTTTAATATTGATGCATACGTTGTAAAATTTGACTAAATACTGCCTCTATGTAGCTGTTGTAAGATGAAACATAGCCAACAGTCATAGGTGTCAAAAAGTTCATGGTTCAAAGTTAAAAATTACTTTTTGCAGATTGCGCAAAACGCCCCCGTCAAAAGACTCCAATTTTGATACGGTAAAGCTTGACAACATTTTTGGTTACTTAGCAGTTCTATCAACATTTAGCAACTAAGCTAGCAACATTAGCAAATCCATTAGCTATATTTCAAAGTAAAAAAGTTGGATATTCAATTATGTGTGGTCTGTCGCGCAGTCGGGTTTTACACACAAAATGTGTATATATATTACTTTTTTGAAAACTCTCAAAACCTAACTTAACTTACATAAATTGCACTGAAATCGGTGGTCAGCTAGCTAGAATGGTGTTCCAGTCCATTTAAATGTTGAGCTCGAGGTGATTCAGTTCTCCAACCGCTAGAGAGTGTCCGAAGTTAGGGGGTGTCCGATGTTGGGGGGTGTCCGAAGTTAGGGGGTGTCCGAAGATAGGGGGTGTCCGATGTTGGGGGGTGTCCGAAGTTAGGGGGTGTCCGATGTCGGGGGGTGTCCGAAGTTAGGGGGTGTCCGAAGTTAGGGGGTGTCCAAAGTTAGGGGGTGTCCGAAGTTAGGGGGTGTCCGAAGTTAGGGGGTGTCCGATGTCGGGGGGTGTCCGAAGTAAGGGGGTGTCCGATGTTGGGGGGTGTCCGAAGTTAGGGGGTGTCCGAAGTTAGGGGGTGTCCGATGTTGGGAGGTGTCCGAAGTTAGGGGGTGTCCGAAGTTAGGGGGTGTCCGATGTCGGGGGTTGTCCGAAGTTAGGGGGTGTCCGATGTCGGGGGTGTCCGAAGTTAGGGGGTGTCCAATGTCGGGGGAAAATTAGCTTGAATGCTTTGCAACAAATAACTAAAAAAGCTAGAACAGTGTAGATACAATATACTGTACAGATCTTAATCTGATCTTTTGTTGCTGCACAGCAGGAAATGCAAACGTGTAGTGTAATTGAGGTTTAAAAAGTATTGTAGTTGATTTGCCCTAACGAAAAATGTATCAACCCCTACAAAAATGTCAGTTAATTATAAACCACACAATCATTTACATTTCCTGTTGCTGCAGGACTATTTTCTAAGCCCTCCCACTAAAAGGTCTAATCTGTCACAGTGTCATGTTCACGGTACCACTCTGAAAAGGAATGTCCTGCTACTGTACTTTAGTTCAGGTCTTTGTACAGTCAACATGATCCGTGCTTTTCACCCTATTCATGTCCTCACTGCTCAGGCTAACAGGTATGTACACAATATAGGGTGAAACTACCATAAAACATGTGACGTAGAGCGCATCTACGTCCCCACGGAGGTGAGGGATCGGTTGGTGACATGGGCGCACACATCCCTCGCCGCTGGACACCGAGGTATCACCCGCACCACTCAATCCATCCCCGCGAAGTACTGGTGGCCCACCTTAGCACAAGACGTCGCCCGCTACGTCAATTCATGCTCCGTATGTGCCCAAACAAAATTTCACCGGTACGCTCCAGCAGGGACATTTCTTCCCCTTCACGTGCCTCAGCGGCCTTGGTCCCATCTGTCCATTGATTTCGTCACTGATCTCCCTCCGTCTGATGGTTTCACCACTATTATGGTTGTTGTGGACAGATTCTCTTGCCATTTTATCCCTCTCTCTGGTCTCCCCACCGCTCTCCAGGTCGCTGAGGCACTGTTTCAGCAGGCACTATGGCCTTCCGGAGGACATCGCGGGTATAGAGAGCCTGGGGGCCATGGCCAGCCTCACATCTGGGTATCAGCCCCAGTCCAATGGGGAAGTGGAGAGGACCAACCAGAAGCTGGGGAGGTTCCTTAGGAGTCACTGCCAGGACCGGCAGGGGGAGTGGGC